AGACGGAGCATACAAAGATGGAGCAAACGAGGTCTTAGCAATCCCATGGGTATTGGGGGGTCTCGCTAAGAACTCTTAGTGAAGGAGTTTGTCCATACAAGTTCCGTTTAATCTCATTAAACATAATCCCACTACGGAACAAACACGTAATTAGACTAATAGTTAGTCCAGTCTAGTCCAGTAACACTTAGTGAGGGCAAATAAACGCCCCCAAAGGGTTTATACTTTGAGTGAAGATCTTCGCGGGATCCTCTTTGTGAGCATTCTGGGGATCCTCTAATCACATCCGTTCATTGTACATCGTGCGGCCTGTTTTTGTCAGGCACTGTTTGTATTCAATTTTAAATAAAAAAAAATTATAATGATTTCTGATCGCATGATGTACGATGAACGGATGTGATTGGAGGATCCCTGGGATCTTCACAAAGAGAATCTGACGAGGATCCTCCTGGTATATTTGGATACCTGAAGGCCACTAGCAGTTACATTTTAAAGGCCTTTATGCAAAATGTATTGTTATATGTATTCATTGTATTCTTACATGAACAAGGGGTCATTGTCGTCAACTTCGTAACAAAATTACTATACTCGGTCTGGTCCGTTTCATTTTAAAACCAGTTTGATCTGGTCCCTCCAAATTTAGGTCGGCTTGACCCGTGCCAACCCTTATTGAAATGTGTAGTGTAATGGAAATGCAGAAGACAGAAGCAATATCATCAATTATACCTTTTATTTTTGGATTTTTATCACAAATGATTCTGAAATTGACCATCCCCTTCAAGATGGTCCTTGAAATTGAAAATCAATCAATATGGTCTCTAAAAATAGGTGTCGCAAATCAATGTAGTCATTTCATCACAATTTTGTTAAAAATTATGTTAAGTGCTGATGTAATGTGGCACATAAATGGGCCCCATAAATCATTTTTTTCTCACAAAATGTCCTTGAAATTGACTCGCGACACCAAAATGGTCTCTGAAATTGACCCGTGACATCAAAATAGTCCATGAAATTGAAAATTGATCAAAATGTAAGTGTCTCAAATCACTGTAGTCTTTCCATCATAATTTTGTCAAAAATTCTATTATGTGCCGATGTGACACATAAAATAGTCACACAAGTCTAATTAAATTAAAGAAATTACAAATAAACTTAACAATTTAATAGTTGATAAAAAAAGTTGCGAAAAGAGAGAACTTCATAGTGCAAAAAGATAAATAGGCTTACAAGTAGGCCCTACTATAAGAAAAAAAAATTCATAGTTCAAAAAGATATTTAAACAACTTTTTTAATTAATTATTAAACTTACATCAGTACATAACAAAAAAAATTTACATAATTATGGTGGAATGATCATATTGATTTCAAGGACCATCTTGATGATGTTAATTTCAGGGACCATCTTGATGATGTCGATCAATTTCAAGGATCATTTGTGATAAAAACTTGTAAATATTGTGGAGCCTATTTATGTGCCACATCAGCACTTAACGGAATTTTTAACAGAATTGTGACGGAATGACCACATTGATTTGCGAAACCTATTTTCATGATTACATTGATTGATTTTCAATTTCAGATACCATCTTGATGGTGATGGTCAATTTCAAGGACCATTTGTGATAAAAACCTTTTTTTTTAAATTACTATTATTAAGGAGCGGGGAAGGATTTAAAACTATATAATAATTAAGAAAGGGAGGAATTTCAAATCAGAATACATAGGTGAAAACTTAACACCCTATCTACTAAGATATTAGACCACATGTATCAATTATGCCTTCTATAACTTTGCAACGTTTGTTAACTACTTTTTTTTAATTTGTTTTCTTTCACAAAAACCTTTTTAGCATCAATGCGGTCGTTGACGAAAATTAAACATAGTAAAAGGTTCAGAGGCGGTATGCGGATGAACATGATGCGTATGAAAGGAATCTAAGAAGGCTCGTTGCTGGTTGCAAACTTGCAATGGTAAAGCTTCGATTTTTTCAGTTTCGATTGGATGTTTGGTTCTTTTTTTTTTTTTTTTGTTCTTTTTTTTCTGTTTTCGATTTTTCAATCCCACCCTTACTCTAAAGTCTAAAACTTCTTTTGTTCAATGAGTCCATAACTTTTGGGCTCTCCTTCAGAGTCCTAGTTTAGAGCAACCAATTTGAAGCTCATACATTAATCTTCATTATGTTTTCTTTTTCCAAGTTTTGAGTTGAGAGACGCAGACGTGGGGGTAGCCACATTAGTATCTACCTCGTCGCAATATGAATTAGTAGAAAGTAGAAAATTGTTGCAACTTGCAAATGCAAGCGTAACAAAATTGGCTAGAATGGAGGTGCTTCTTCATTTTTTGTTGAACTAATACTTCAATATCAGGGCAAAGATGCCATAAGGATACAGAGAAAGCCTACTAGGAGGCAAACAACCAAAATAATGCAAAAAACACCAAGTAGTGCAAGGGGATACAAGAAACCTTGACGTCACATCTGATGCTAACAAAACGTCACCCCTCACACTACCAAGAAAAAGACCTAAGGACGGCAGGGAAGCTCATCATTACAAAAGACATGTACAAGTTCATTACAAACAGAACAAGCACAAAACAACAGAAATGACCCTTCAAACAAACAAAAGTCTGACCCAAAACAGAAATTGGAGCCCATCACAGAAAACGCAAAATACAAAGAAACCTAGCAACTTCTTCAATCTTTCTGCATGCACGTGGAGGTGCTTCGTCTATGCACTAAGTTCAGCAGTTTAGATTAATTTAAAATAAGGAAAACTAATGAAAATGACTTGAAAACTTTGAGTTTTAACGATAAGGACAAAATAAAGGGTAAAGTGAATAGTAGCATGTTTGACTTTTTAATGTAAAAATGTGGTTTTTCGTTAAATTAAACAGTACTATAGACTTTTCGTTAACACTTTTTAAAATACTGATAAACGGAAATACAGCTAGGGATCATCATTCGGCAAGTGAAGTGGGTCGGCTAGAACCCCACGTCCCAAAACCCAAACTGTTTTACTTCGATTTCACCTGATTCGAATCCGAAATCAAGCATTACTTGGATTCCACAATAATTCACCTTCCATCTTTTCCAATTTTTTTACCACTCCACCTCACTCTCCTGATTTACCTTTTTGGGCAGCAAAGGCTCTGAGATGTACATTGCAGGTGCTGTAAATAATTTTGGTACAAACTTTAAAATCCCTGGGTCCAAGCCACATACTGAAAGCCTGACGCATTGCAACTTTAACTGAGGGCATTTTACAACTTTTACATCGTCATACAACCTACACTTACTTTGATGGATATCATGATAAGTTGGTTGGGGGTGAAACAATAAAATTAGAGGGGCAGAGAGTGACGAAATCACCATTGATGGGATTGAGATTTACTCCGGATATCTGTGTTCGGAACACTTAATTTCAACCATGCGGTCCTTCTTTAGCTTATTCCAATAATTCATTTTACAAAAATTTAAAAACTTAAAAGACCCAAATTTCTTTTTTTATTTTCTTTCTCTTAAACAGCCCGAATCTCTGTTCAGATATTGGGATCCAGAGTTGATCTCATTACACTTGGTTTGTTGGGGTGAAACAGTAAAATCAGAGGGGTAGAGAGTGACGAAACCACCAAAAGAATTATGGTAAAAAAAAATAAAAGGAGGAGAATAAAAATGATGATCGTCAATGAATATCCTCAAACGTGTGGCCATCATCATCCAATAAAATTGTCTGCAAAATTTGAATGCTCCACACTCACTCACTCATCTCACTCATTCACCAACTTTTCTTGTTTTTTTTTTGTTTTTTTTTTTTTTGACAAAGTATGATTTTGGTCTCGGATGTTTGGATGAAGTTTCACTTTAGTCTTTGTAGCTGCGTATGGTTTTATTGTTATAAACCGTCGTAATTCAAGGATAATAACTTGAGTTTGTCAGTTTTTTCTACAAAATATGAATAGATAGCCATGTGAGTGATATTTGAAAACTTTTAAAAAGACTAGTCTTTCATTGTATCGAACACACGTATTAATCCTGATCTCGAGAGTACACTTTAAACTTCTTGGTGCCAAAACATATAGGAATGAGGATCCTCTTTGTGAGGATCCAGAGAATCCTTTAATCGTGTGCTTTCGTCGTAAATCGTGCAGTCAATTTTTATCAAATACTATTTGTGTTTAATTTTAAATATAAAATTTAAAATGATTTCTGATCGCATGATATACGATGAATGAACATGATTAAATGATTATCAGAATCCTCACAAAAATCCAAATCCAAAGAGGATCCTCATTCAACATATAGTGAAACAACCTACACGTAAGTATTTACCATAACTCAACATCAAACTTTGACCTAGTTGTTTTTTTTCTTTTGTTTTGTGTATTGGCTTCTCTTTTTTCTTTTTCTTTGGGTCAGTTTTCAGTAAGTGGTGGGGTTGAGGGTGTCTGTGTCACGTTGTTTTCAACCTCTGTCCTTATTATCTCTACTGTCACTGTGTCTGGTCTCACTCTCCCTTTCTCTCTCTCGTTCTATAGCTTAGGTCTCTCTCTCTCCTCTCCCTTTCTCTCCCTTTCTCTCCCTTTCTCTCTCCCTCCCACCCAATAAAGATTAATCAGAGTTCTTTTTCTCACTCAACTCCCTTTCTTCTCCTCTTTCATTTCCTTTCTCTTTTCCTATCTCCACAAGATAAGCTTACCCTATATACCGTCACAATAACATCTCGTCTTTGAAACTTCTTCTGAGCTAACTTAACCTACACCAGAGACAATAACATCTCGTCTTTGAAACTTCTTCTGAGCTAACTTAACCTACACCAGAGACGTCACTGTAGAAATTCACTAGGGCTATCCTTACTGTGACTAAAGAAACTTCTGCATGAACACATCGGTTACATGGTGACAGTATCTCAAACCCATTTGACACGAGAGGCTTCCAAATCTAGTTTTCGCTCGTCAAAGATTAAGCTCCAAGAAAGAAACAAAGACGCATCAAATGTTACAAATTACAATTGAAAAACATGAAGCTTTATTTGCTGAGAAGGCTAACAATGTTACATTTGGGGTTCACACGGCAATTACTTCCTGTTGAAAAAAAAGGGCCACATAAAAACATATGCAAAAGTCTGCATAGTGTAGACAATGGTGGCTACGCCGAATAGAAGAAAAAAAATCATACATCTCTGTTCAGTTCAATACATTGCAACAACAGGAGTTTCGAATTTTCAATCTCTTTATTAATCGCTAACTGGTATCCCATAGCTCAGCCAATGGTAAAATGATGGCGATCGAGCTCTCGAGCCTCTGTATACCTCCTCCTCCCTACCCCCGCCGCCTCACGCTTCAATCAGAGCTGCATATATATTGAGCTACCGTACACATGAAATTAAACGCGAAACAATTGAAGTACCATATATGAGTGTGTACCTGCCAACATCCATCCAAGACATCCAGAGGGTTTGAATCGTGGAGATTCGTCCGTGTCAAGTAACCCTCAATGCCGAATCTTCATCCATGGTCCAAACAAAACCAGGCATGTCAAACCTTGGCCCTGCAACGGACCTATAGATGTAGAGCTTCTCAACGGGAGAGCTCTCCGGCCTGGATTCTGGGTGCCCCCTCTCGTCAATAACTTCAACATTTAGCCTCGGCAACCTCTGGCCAAGTAGCTTACATGCTCCATAACTCACTGAGCATGAAGACATCCAAAGGGATCGCATTGTCTCCAGCTTTGCAGCATTGGCCAAAAGAGCCTTGTCACCAAAAGGACAATCCCTGATCTCCAATTTCCGAAGATTATCGCACCCAGACAATATATGATGAAGCCCCAAGTCACTATCTCCGGCAAAGGCTAAAGACAGCATCTCCAACTTTTTACCATAGGTTCCGATATAATCAAATGCTTGATCAGTTAGTAGACCAGAAACGGACAATCGCCGGAGATTCTTGCAGTTCTCAACAATGGCCCCAAAACCCACATCAAGGGGCTGAAGGGTCAGGTAGTCGGGAATTTTGGGCTCAATTATACAAAGACGAAAACATGTAAAGTTAGGCTGGTTCCTAGCAATGGTGATTAATGCATCATTGGACATTTGCCGGCAGAAGTACAGAACTGAGTGGAGCTTTGGACAGCCCTCAGAAACAGATATGAGGCCCTGCTCTGTCAAGGACACATTTGGTTCCACCACAAATGGATCCGAGGGAAACACCCTTAACTCTCGTAGATCCTTGCAAGATTCCGCCAGGGCATCAAGGCCAACATCTTCAATGTAATCCAATACCTGTAGTCATGTCCTTAATTAGCTACAAATCCAACCCTTGGACCCTAAGAAAAATTAAAAGCAGAAGAGACTAAAAACATTACATAAAAAAGGACATACCCAGAGGCGCTGCAGATTCGGGCATTGGCTAACAAGCTTTACAAGATCCGGGCTTTGAATTGTGGAATAACTCAAATTTAGTGATGTTAGCCCAGGGCAGATAGAATAAATAGCTGGAAGATATGTTGGTACCACATCCCAAAATCCAGATAGGCTCTTGAGTTCCTTGCATCCTGAGATGGCACGTGATAGGATTGCGAAGACATCAGGCCGCAACTCAGCTGAGTAGGCCCCTGTGCCTAACTCAGTCAGCCTAGGTGCCAGGCGAAGTAGATTGGCTAGCCTGTCAAGAGGCACGGAACGATTGAGCCGGAGACTCCTCAGGTTGGGACACCTAGCCACCAGGCGCTCCAGGGCAGAGAAACTCAACTCAGACCCCAAGCAAGCAATGTTAAGGGACACAAGTGACGTGTATGTATCAGGAAAATGGCTCAGCCAATGCCCACTCAGGTCCTCCACATCGCTCTCATGCAAGTCCAGCTCCCGTAGATTCCTGCATCAGCAAAAGGAAAGAGTGCACCCATAAGAACATAAATTTCACAACGCCGAGCAAAAAAAGAACATAAATTTGCTAAATGAAGCAATTGAATAAAACAAAACAAGACTACAAAAACTAGTTTACTAATTAAAATTAGCAACTCATCAAATGACAGCGACTAGACTTCTAAATTTGTTCAACTTTTCCACAAACTGAACCATCACCACCACACAAAACTTCACACTTTTTCCAATCCCAGCATTCTTATAAGTAAAATGCATCACTACTACGAGTAATTTCCCAAAAGCAAAAGCTAAGAAACAAGAAACTAAATCAAAAGTATCTTTGAGCAGCAAAGAAGAATCTAGTGGTAAAAATCTACAGCGTCCAAGGAACTACTACCATCCAAAACTTTGAAAACAACCTCACATCTCAATACTCCATATCAAACAAAGTAGCCCAGATAACAAGAAAGTAAAAAGTAACCCAAATGATCCTGACTAGACTTTGCTCATTAGACATTCACAGAACAAGAAGTTACCACTCAAATCTATCAGAACACCAAAAGTAAATAATTCAGATCCAAGAATGGAAACCATCTGGGACTACCCAAAACTGGGAAATTATCTCCTGCAAACGACCTTCAAAGGCAACAATGTGCAGCTCTAAACCAACCAAATTAGATCTCTTCACGCATTTACTCAACACTCTTCACAGAGCAAACATGTCAAAATACAAAATATTGGGCATGAAATTGAACATTTTTAAATCATGGGTGTTGTAACTATTTGAGGCCTGGCCAATGGTCATAAATGGAAGCTTAAACTCAAGCAATTCCAGCTCAAGTGCTCGTGCTGTAAGAGTAGAGTGAAGAAATCTCACTCGTTTCGCTATTAAAACCCGAAAGATTCAAACTTTAATGCTTTTGAACACTTGAATCATACTCAGCAACCAAAAAGAAGCCACAAATTGTTCAAATAAACAAAGTAACATTGAAACGGATCGAAACCGAAATTTACAGATAAAGTAACACAGAACAAGCAAAGCTCAAGCTTTCATTTCCCATCAAAACCAAATACAGTGCAAACCAAAGATGCGGAAGCAGAGAGAGATACCTGCAATTGGCAGCAATGGAGGCGAGTCCGTCAGTACTGAATCCCTCACAGGACGAAAGCACGAGGAGCTTCATATTCTTGAAGGACTTGGCAATCAGCTCCAAGGTCTCGTCGGTGACGACCATCCTCTTGAGCTTGATCTCTTCAAGCCAAGGGTAGGCGCTGGCCATGGCGGCGATCCAAGGGTACACGTACCCACCCCAGCCTTCCGGGACCAGATTGAAGTCGGCGAAGTGAGGCTTTCCTTTGAGCTCAATGGATCTAACGTCCGGGAACCGCCTGATCAGCATCCTGGGGCTGACGGCGTAGCAGTTCCCGATGAAAATCCTCCGCCTGCACCACCGTTCGATCTCGTACCACGACTTGCACACCGTCGAGATCGAGTTCCGGTCCTGGTCAGTCTGTATGAACGAGAACACGTACTCCAGAACCTCCTCGGGAAACGAGTTCACCATTCTCTGCATTTCCCGCATCTCAATCAGGTCGAAAAGCACTAAAACGACGTCGCTCTTCCGACTGCTCTCGATTCGAAGCAGCTGGATAAACAGCGAAACAGAGAGAGAGAGAGAGAGAGAGAGAGAGAGAGAGAGAGAGGAAGCAGAGGAAAGGGAAACGGCGTCGTCTATATTAGATCTGAGACTCCATTAACGAGCTTATTCGTTGCAGGTATGCAGATGAGAGAGAAAGTAGAGAGAGAGAGAGAAGTGAGAGGGAGAAAGACAAAGAGGATAAGGATTTTATGTTGAGATGGGGTGATGCTAGATTTTAACCGGGGTTAAATCGAGAGGTGGGGCTCTGTGCGACTGATGCTGGTTCATGGTTGAGATGACGACACGTGTGGGAGGGGAGTTGAGAGCCGTTGGCTCACGGTGGCAGTGGGGTGGTCTTATCTGCTGGGCGTCCAAGGGCAGCCGCATAAAACGGGTGTACGTGAAGGGGGTAGAGCCCGTGGCCGTGGGGTTGTTTCAAAGCAAACGAGAAATTCTTTCTTTTTTTTTTTTCCAAACAAAGCAAACGGCAAGTGGCCATTTACCATAATAATAGAAAAAATATTGAGCATTTGCATAATAGTGTGAGTTCAAATCTTATCGATAGATATTCTAACATCTAATCTAACAAAATATATCGTTTGACAAAAAAACAAAGCGAACGAGATTTTGGACATAATTTCATATTTCATTAATAATGCGTAAACGCCACATTAATTAATAATTTTATCTCTTTGGTTTTAGTGATTGATGATGCACAAAAGTTACGTTAATTTATGAAGTAATGTTATAAAGATTAAATTTTTAAATGTTAATTAACGTGTTTATTTTCTATTAGTGACACATCATTTGGTTTGCAAATTTCGTTTGAAAATTTAGTCTCCTTAGCATTATTCTAATGGGGTGTGATATCCACACATCCCATTTTACTTCTCACACACCTTTTTAATTTTCGGTCGTCGGATCAGATAAATTGAAAAATATCAACGAACAGAAATTATCAAATGGTGTGTGAGAAGTATCCACGCACCCCTATTCTAATCAACGATTTCTTCTTTGTCAAAGTGATTTTACTTTCTTTGTGTTTGATTGAATTTATCACATATCACATCGTGTGATATTAAATTGTAGTACAAATATGGTGTAATCGCAACATTAATGGAATTTGAGGGGATGAATTTGGTTGAATTATACGATAAATCAAAATCATAATTATGTATCCATCATGTCAACTTATAACTAGAGAACACCACTAATTTGTAATGCTTGTGGTTGTTGCATGACCGATTTAGAACCACAAAAATAATACGTTTGACAATAGACTCAGTAATATATTTAAGTCTCGAATGCAATAGTAGGGGTCACTCCTATTAAATATCTTTTCTTGTTATACAAGTGACGGTGAGACGATGGAATCGAACTCTTACTATTAATAATACTCTTAACTCATAATACACGTCTTGAAATTGACCAACTTTGATATCTTAATTGGATTGTTTATGTGAACTATAGTTGAAATGAGATACAAATATACAAAATTTGGGTTTTTTTTTTCCTTATAAAGTTTATAAGAAAGAGACATTCTTATTAAGAGGTTAAAAACACATCATCATAATCGGTTGTTCAATATTCATACAATTATCATATGAAATTTACGTCGTATAATAAAAGTGAATTTTATGAAAACTTCCATAATAATATTGGTAATAATAGCATCACTTAGTATCCAACCAATTGAATGGTCATGATGGGCAGAAAATTATTCAAAGATCATACTATGTGAACCACCGTAGTGTAGCTCAGTGGTTTGAATGAATTTTAAACTCGTATTTTATATTGATGAATCAAACGATGATGGTCAAGATGAGGCTATAAAGCCTCTATAATCCTTTTTTGCCCTCAAAATGGTGAACTACCGAAGTTTTCTCTGATCTCGAAATAATGAACTGTCGTGGTGAAAACAGCAACTACTCCTATCCAAGAAAAGACACATACGATGCGGCCTTTTCAACAGTGGACGTCCAATGGTAATTTACCTGAGTAACATGATAAACGGTTAAAAATCCAAAGCACCCCTGCAGGTTCACAGAGGGCCGCGCACGTACTTTTACATGGGGCTCTCCCAAAATTATGTGCACGAAATTACCCTCTTTAGAATACGGCCGACAACCTTCGTTCCCACATAAATTAGGGGCACAATTGTCAGTCCAAAAGGATACGGTATTATTTGGATCCACTGCCTCGTTGTGAACTCAATAAAAAGAGATTTTTCAATGTGATCGTCACATGAGGTGGTCTACTACGTATTTTTATATAAATAATGGATTATATGTGTTAAAAATTTGATAACTTAAAAATTAAAATTTTCCACCATTTGTATAAAAATACGTGATGTATCATTCATATTCGATCACAATTAAAAATTTCTTCTCAACGAGACCTGTCTTTTTTCCTTCAGACTTAAAATCAACGGCCCAGAAATGGTCCTTGCCAAGAGAAGATCTCAGCCCTTGGTTCGAGCTTGTCTTTATTCAATATTATTATATTTAAAAAGGGGAAAAAGCGTTACGAAAAGAATATATATTTGTATATTCGCTCAGAAACTTAGGTCTTAATCAGTTAATTAATTTTTTAATCCCATAGTTTAATGGTGTGCTGAGTTGGCCTGCACGTAAAGTTGATTTTTTATTGGTGAAAAATCGTGATTAAGATATTAAAAATAATTGATTAGTTATAAATTAAAGGAATTAATTATTAACCCCACGCATGGTTCTCCGGGAATCTCTCTCCTTCTCGAGTGGAATGGCTTCCGACTCAGCTGTGTATATTTTTGCTCACATAATATTGGTATTCTATTTAAATAATAATAAATGAATTTTCGACATACATTTGTTTTTAAAGTTTAAGGAAAATTTTTATTAGACGATAATAAGGTCAACAATGTTTTATGTCACCAAATATTGAGCGATCAAGCACCATTATTTGAAAAAAAAGAGTAACGGATATGAAAATGATTCGTTGAATGTGTGAGAACAAGAGAAATGACATGATTAAAAAACGAGGTTATCTAAGACAATGTAAAAGTGACCGCATTTGAAGATAAGATAAGAGAAAATCGATTAAGATAGTTTGGACATGTGAACCAAATACCTACAAATGCTTCTGTTCAAAAATTTGATTATGAGATAGAAACTCAAGACAAAAAAGGTAGGCAAGGACCTATGAAGATTTGGAAAGAAACTTTAAGGAAAAATGAGTATTTTGAGCTAATAGAAACTTAGCGCAAAATCAAATGCAATAACGTTTGAAGATTTACACGATAGACCTCGTTTAATGGACTAAGATATTGTTGTTGTTTATGTAACTTTTGTTATTGGTACCCATAAAAGTTCCACGACCTATTCGTTTCAAATATTTCCTCGAACGAATTCTAGGAGATATAAACAATAGATTTTCAAAAAAAAAAAAAAATCATACTCTTCATCTTCTTCGATGCAGATGTACAATTATAATATTTCAAGCTTATGACTTTGTTATAATGTTTTGCTCCCATTGGTTGATAATATATTTTATCTGTTATTTTTATTTTATTTTTACCTACTAAGGTTTTGATGTATTATTTTTGTTTAAACCCATACAAATGAAGCTGCACGTCCGATGTCGATGATTAATTAGAGAAAAACATTTAATGCAAATTTAGTACACATAAGGTATACTAAATTTGTGACAGCTGAGCGAAAATATGCATGCTGGCACATAAAGCTACACATAAGTCATCGTTGATTTGTTTAAGCATAGTTTCACATGTTACATTTTTGTTAATGTGCATCAATCGAGCTTTACGATATAGTTTAAAAGTTAGCTGATAGATAACATGCATCTTAAATTATCAAAGATCAGGAGAAAAATCGTCTATATTGATAATATACATTTTATTTATATAGCAATTTGTCCTATATAGAAATTCACGTTGGAGAATTTTATGTATAGATTTTGTTTAGATATAAACCTTGATCATTCATTTGTTTATACCTTATAGGTTTAGAAGGTTATTCTCGCATTAAATAGTCTAGCATGTTACATTATTATATATCGATGTGAATCAAACAAGTTTTACGACATAGTTTAAATTGTTGATTGATATATAATATGCATGTTAGATTGTCTAAAATCAAGTGAAATATCACCTATATTAATAAAACACATTATATTTAATCAGGTGATTGATTCTAACTCTGTTGTTGTGAGCATAGATTTTTATAAAGCAGTTCATCTTATTCAAATATTCACGACAAAAAAGTATTGTACATATAGCTTAGGTTCATATATATGGAACTTGTACATTTTCTTGTAGCAAGTAGGGTCGAGTAAGGTTTTCAATATTTCCATCGAGGGTCCGAACAATAAGCATTTTCAATCGAGTTCACCATGATCAAAGGGGAGAGTTACATGTTATCAATGTATAAATGTAGGCCCTTAGCTTACATCACTATCAACTTTAATATTGTCACGTAGGTCATATATTTTTATCTCCTTCTAGTATTATTGTAATGTTTTTTCCTTTCCCTCAGTCGGGGGCAACAATGTGGGGCGGGTGTTGGCCGTGGAGGATCCCAAACCTACATCACAAGTAAAAATAAAAATAAAAACCCCACATCCTATAATTTAATTTCGCACAAGTTCAACTAAACTAAACAAAGAATAACACTATATATTAACTTTTGTTATATCCCCATTTACAATATTTGGAATATGAGATATTTGAAGGTTGCCTTGATCTTTCACTTTTGTTGATAGAAAATCCTAACCCCTAAACGCTGAATTTGACGCTTTGACGCTTCACTTTTAACGTTGGGATATGTTTTGAAAAATGTATCATTAACTTGCGAATGATGAGATGTGTCAAGACCAATCCTTAATGAAAGATTAGGAAACACAAGTAGGGAATTAATGCAAGAATACTATCCAAGGACATCATTTCATGGAGAACCAGCTGGGTCTGCCATGATTTCCATGACTCGTTTTGCCCGTCAACTGATACTGATTCATATCATATATATACCCTGCACTTGATGGAAACCCTAAGTTCGATTTGTTAATTAACCATCTTTGTGTATTAGCATTTCTAAGTATCAGAGCTGGCCATGAGGGTGTGCAAAAGGTGCCACCGCACAAGGCCCCCAATTCAGAAGGCCTCCAAATTTTCATTACATGTATACATATGCATATAAAGAGATTAGATGCAAAAGATAATCTT